ATTATTATTATTATTATTATTATTATTATTATTATTATTATTATTATTATTATTATTATTATTATTATTATTATTGTGTTAAGGTGAAGCATATTTTTATTATTTTTATGATATTTATTATTGTAATAATATTACAATATACTATATAATAAATAAAATATATACTGTATTCCTCCGAAATAAGCACCCTGGCCTACACTATGACAACTTTGGCCTGTTTTAAAATAATTGTGGCACGCATTACGTGCCAAAAAGGGTGCTCATTTTGAAGGAATACATTGAACACCATAGATGCATTTTAAAATCACCGTTTTAATATAGTTATTTATAGAATCAAAAATAGTATATTATTTAATAAAGCTACATTACACTATATATACACTATCTAAAAAGACCAATTAACACATTGGTATAAATAGATGACTATTTATTAGTTAATCATATTATAAATGATGTTTAATGCATACCATTTGATCTGATTAGATTAAACCAAATCTTTATTTTTTATCAGTATAAACAACAAAATCTTAATATACCTATTACAAGATGGTTACGGTTATACGTATAACTTTGTAGAGAGATGCAACGACGAAACTATATGTAATTGTACAAAAATATTGGTTAAACAGAACTTGCATGATTATCCAAAGAACCGGTTTAAAAGCTCATGAATTCTGGCTAATAAGCATCTTTAATGTGATAATATTGGGTTTTTGCCTTGAAAATCAAGTTATGAAACATATAATTTACTATGTCTCAACTTGATTTTCAAGGCAAAGACCCCATATGCCAGAAATAAAAAATTTTAACTGGTTTACGATTTTAATTACCGATTGAAACCAATATGCATAACAATATTATAGAGTATTATCGCTATGAAATATACGATGAAATAATTATCAGGAAAAGTCACGTGAATTTGTTATCTTATCAAAATTGATTACAATCCTTATCATATCAAGCACTATCTTATCAGAAGATCCATCCCCATTTTGTCATTGCAATAACGTAGTTCGATATATAATCAGCGGGAATTTCCTAAATTGAAGCATCATCTTCGATATGATTTTTTTTCTTCTTTTTTTTACGTGAATATTATGCATGGATTCCGATAAATCTATTTATCGGCACACGAATCGTACAACCTTTACTAAATATGGTCTATATCGTTATTTAGTTTGTGTTCCCCTAGATAAGTTATTGCATGCTTATCTTTGTTGATAGGAACGAAATTAGAAATTTATTTTATTATATATTTGCTGTCAAAAAGTTAATATGGAAAAAATGGGTATTTATGTAATCCCGTTCCTTACCGTTCAGTATATATATAACTGTTATCTTTTTTGAGAATGGACAGATAAGCTGATAATTTAAGTTTCAGTTTTAAGGCTTGTTTAACTTATACCAATATATTTATATCGTACAAATCATATCCTGTGGTAATCGTATCATAGGGCTAATAATCGCCTGACAGATTTTTTTCTCGATAAATGTGAACATAGTAATTGATCTGCATATTCTCATTCGTGAAAATTAAATTTTACCCTTTGTCTTCGTTCATCCTGAAATTAAAATGCCGCCTAACGAAGCTGCCGAGGTTATTGTTCCAGCTGATGATAGGAAGACCATCGTTGTTTGCGGACTTGGGATGGTCGGATTATACTTTATTGAGAAACTTGTGAAATATGACGTCACACACAAATTCAGGATCGAAGTTTTTTGTGAAGAACCTTTAGGCATGCATCATTAGTGACTAAACGTCTAGATACAAGAACTGAAATTTCTAATCGTATGTTTTTTTTTTTGTTTTTTAGTTGCTTATAATAGGGTTGGCTTGACACAATTCTTTTCTCATCGCTCGGAGGAAAGAATGCTCATGCAACCCCTAAGTTGGTACTCGGAGAATAATGTGATTGTTCACATTTCTGACAAGGCTAAGCATATAGATACTGCTGCCAAGATCGTTACATCTGAGAACGGTCTCTCAGTTTCATACGACGAATGTATACTTGCTACAGGTTCCTATCCATTTGTTCCTCCGATCCCTGGTTGGAATAAAAGCGGAGTGTTTGTCTATCGAACTATAGATGATTTGAATACTATAATCGCGTATGCTGCCAATTCGAAACGTGGAGCTGTCATAGGAGGTGGCTTGCTTGGTTTAGAAGCTGCCAAGGCTCTGAAGGATTTAAATCTGGATGTGACAATCGTCGAAATGGCACCGGTCTTAATGGCCAGGCAATTGGACGCCGAAGGTGGAAGAATGCTTCAAAAAGAAATAGAAAAACTTGATATTAAATGCGTTCTTGGTGTTCCTCCAAAGGAAATTACTGTTGATGAAGAAGGAAAAGTTAATGGTATTCGGTTTGAGGATAAGGTAATAGATTTGGATATGGTAATTGTTGCTGCAGGTATTCGTCCACGTGATGAGCTCGCGAAAGCATCCGGAATCTCAACACATGCGCGAGGTGGCGTGTTTGTGGACGAACGACTACAAACTAGTGATCCTCATGTTTATGCTATTGGTGAGGTCGCTTTGCATGCCGGTATGATTTATGGTCTTGTTGCACCCGGTTACGACATGGCTGATGTTGTCGCAGCAAACCTTGCTAAGAAAGATTCTGATAAACGCTTTCTTGGTGGTGATTTGTCAAGTAAACTTAAACTTCTCGGTGTTCATGTTGCTAGTTTTGGCGACTATTTCGCTAAAGATGATGTGGCAATGCCATTGGTGTACAATGATCCCTTCGGTTCGGTTTATAAAAAATATTTATTTTCCAAAGACGGTAAACATCTTCTTGGTGGTATAATGGTTGGTGATACAGAAGATTATACAAAACTTCATGCCTTGCTCAAGTCTAAAAAACCATTAACTATGCCTCCTGGCGAACTTATTCTTGGTGTAAAGTCCGGACAAGCACCGGGTGCGGATGATCTTCCTGATGAGGCACAAATTTGGTAAGTTTATTGAGTTATATATTGGAATTTAAGGTTTTCGTATTGTATTAGATCTTCATTTTTTTTTTAAAAAAAAATTATAGTTCATGTAACAATGTCACGAAAGGACAGATACGTGAATCTATTAAAGACGGAGACTGTCGTTCTGTCGGTCAAGTCAAATCATGTACAAAAGCTGGTACAGGTTGTGGAGGATGTATGCCACTTGTGACGGAAATCTTCAATGCGGAAATGAAATCTTTGGGTCATGTTGTAACACAGCATATTTGTCCGCACTTTAACTTTACTCGTTCTGAACTCTTTCAAATTATTAAAATCAAGAAGCTCAAGAATTTTGAAGAAACAATTGAAAAAATTGGCAATAAAGAGTCATCAACCGGTTGTGAAGTGTGCAAACCGATGGTAGCATCTATTATTGCCAGTTTATGGAACGAGCCTGTTCTAGATCATTGGGGGATTCTAGACACAAATGATCGTTACCTCGCCAACATTCAACGAGGCGGATCATATTCAGTGGTTCCGCGCGTTCCGGGTGGTGAAATCACACCCGAAAAACTTATTACTCTTGGGCAAGTTGCTAAACGTTTTGGATTATATACTAAAATCACAGGGGGACAGAGAGTTGATTTATTCGGTGCAGAAAAACATGATCTTCCCCAAATATGGGAAGATCTAGTTAATGGTGGATTTGAATCGGGTCACGCTTATGGTAAAGCCCTTAGAACGGTGAAATCATGTGTTGGATCCACTTGGTGTAGATACGGCATCGGCGATTCTGTGGGATTCGCTATTCAACTTGAAGATCGATACAAGGGAATTAGAGCCCCTCATAAGATTAAAGGTGCCGTATCCGGTTGTATCAGAGAATGTGCGGAAGCACAAGGAAAAGATTTTGGTTTAATTGCGACAGATTCTGGTTTTAATGTCTATGTTTGCGGAAACGGTGGTGCTCAACCTAAACATGGTGTTATATTGGCGAAGAATGCTTCAGAAGAAAATGCTATCAAGTATCTTGACCGGTTCTTGATGTATTATATTCATACTGCAGATCATTTGACAAGAACTGCAAGATGGCTCGAAAAGATGGTAGTGTACTTTTAAATAAATTCACCTTTGATAATTCCTAAAATTTAAACACTGTTTTTATTCACTTTTTCTTAATTGAAAATACAGGATGGAGGAATTGAGGTACAGTATTTAGATATATGAATATTAATGTTTATTGACGAGTATTTTTTAATTTCTTTATTTCATACATATGATTAGTATCTTCGCAAGGTTATTATTGATGACTATCTCGGAATTTGTAAAGAATTAGAAGAGGACATGGCTCGTTTAATTTATACTTATCAATGTGAATGGGCTGAGGTGGTTAAAAATCCCAATAGACGCGCTATGTTCCAACAATTTGCCAATTCGTCGGAGACTACAGAGGGTATTGAATATATTACAGAACGAGGACAACGACGTCCTGCCGACTGGCCCAAAGAATTCTCAGAAGAGCCTATTAAAGATGAAATTAATTTAAATCCGGGTGAAAAATCTTGGATTAAAATTGCCAGATTAGATCATTTTCCAGAAAATGCAGGGCAGGTCGTTAAATATGGGGACGTACAAATTGCAATATATAATACACATAAAAAGACTCAATGGTTTGCAACACAAAACATGTGTCCACATAAAAGAGCATTCGTATTGTCTCAAGGGATAGTAGGTGATGAAAACGGGACTATCAAAGTGAGCTGTCCGATGCATAAAAAGAACTTTGCCTTGGAAACAGGTGAATGTTTATCAGGAGACGTAAATTTGAGATTAATGACCTTTGACATAAAGATAGAAGATGATCATATTTGGTTACATCTTCCATCCACTTACGAACTTGATCGATTACTTGGAACTAGTAAATGGAAAGTCACTAAAAATGGTAAAAAACAAAAAGAAAGAATAATGGACAGATCCGCAACAAATATTCAGATGTTAGGAACAACGAGTTCTTCCGGTTGTGCAGATGTTTCATGTGGTGATAAGAAATTGGATTGGTAATCTTACATGTCAATGTTAATACGTTGATCACATTTTTTTTCTTGCTCCTTTCACTATTAAGTCTTTAATACTTATAGATGTTTTATATTTATTTACGCTTATTTTGAGATAATTAGTAACACGATGTTAGTTAAGGATAGCATGTTATATTATATTCACGTATACGAAATTTATAGTTTAGCATAGTCAATAAATCTAATAAGGTATATAATGTTAAATATGTAAAAAAAGTTGAAATACTCTCTTGAAGGGTTGTACGTTTTGGTATAATAATTTGTAAAACAAATAAAAACATCAATATTCTGTATGATACAACACTAAATCACGATCTTATTTAGTATAGGTAGGTATATATGGATTATTACAAGATTATAAATTCTAACCCCAGACTCTAACTATTTATAAACTTTTTAAATAACAAATTTTTATATATTTTAAATATAATTATAATTATATAATAATTTTAAATATATGCTCACCTATACAACTGTACTAATAACTGTTCTACTATACGTGCTACAAATTTTAAAACTCAAACCCAAATTACAAACCGAACAAACTGTGCAAACCGAATAACCTGTCATAGTCCCAAACTCTAGTCAAATCCCAAACCCTATCCCAAATTTCAGGTCTTATTCATGTTTCAAATCTTATTTCATGTTTTAAATCTTATTTTAAATCTCAATTTCAAATCTTTAAAACTTCAAATTTTATACTAAAATTTTTTTTTTTTTTAGAAAGATTTATTTTCTATCTTTTTTATTAATTAGTTAATTGTATATATATATAAGATACATAAAGAAAAAATTATATTAGAAAAGATAGCTATAAGAGTTACTTTACTCTTGACCTATTTTTTGCTAAAATGGTCAGTAGATCTTTAGTTTTTGTTAAGATGATAAAGAAAAGATTCTTCATATATAATATAATGTTATATCTTTTTATTTTATAAAGAATATAAAATTCATATAATTTTAATTAATATTAGTAATTGTAATGATGATGGAATTGGAAAAGTAAGTTTATGTTGAATTGTTCTAAAAATAAGTCAAAATTTTTTATATATTGCAGAAATAATATTGTAACAAATAAAAAGAACATGTTTATACTTGTGGTTATTATTTTTAAATAATATTAGTATTATTAGTTATTAGTCCTAGTAGTATTTGCTTGTTGATATAGTTATAAACAAAGGCTTAAATAAAATTGTTTATATTATAATAAACTATTTTTAACTTGTCTAAAGTTTCATATACTGTGTATTTTATTAAAGTTTTAAGATTCAGAAGGTTCTAAAAGCATATTAAAAGATGTATAATAGTTTCAAAACTATTATAATATCTTAGATAAAGATAATTTAGATGTTTATAGTATTTTTCTAATAAAAAAAGATATATAAATCTAATAGTAAATTTTTTTTATATTTAATTTTATAAAAAATTATATTAAGTAAACTAATTTTAATTATAGTCACACCCTCTAAGTGCATACCTCCTAAGTGCAAATACTATGTAAAACCTCTTTAAATGCAAGTTATAGGTTGGCCCCAACTTATAAGAACCTTATATATTTTATTCTTCATAAGTGCAAACCTTCTTTAAGTACAAAATTTTGATTTTTTTTACTATGGTCTTGACAGCATGCACTTAGAGAGGTGTAACTGTATTAAGTATTCATATATCTATTTTATACAAGGCTCTCAAAAGAAGCTGTATTCCGGACAAGGCTATAAATCTGCTGTTATATTTGTTTTCACATTGAACCAACAAAGTAATTACTACATTAAGCTTAATTGCATTTTATTTAGTAAAAGATAATATTGACTAAGAAGAGACAATTTCTCTTCTTTTTTGAAAGATATACTATGACCTACTAATATCAAGAATATATAAAGTTATCAAAGATTTCTTAATAGAATTCCTCCTTCAAATACAAAAAAAATATATACTTTTGTAATAGCATATATGAATAACTTATTATGAATTGTACCAAACAAAATATCTCTTATAAACATTTTATATACTACTTTATCTTTCTACAAATTAGCTAATATAAGAGTTAACCTCTCAAAATCTAGTTTAATTGCAAACTTTTTAAATCCAGATAACTCTATATCTTTTGATAATGAACAATTAGTTGTAATAAACAGTGAAACATTATTTAAATATTTAGGAGCATGGTTCTCAACCAAAAAAAAACCAATACTAATACAAAAAGAAATAATAGATAAAACCAAAATTAATTTAAAAAAACTGCAATTTGTTAATATAACAAAAAACAAGTAGAAGTATGTCAACCTAGTAAAATGAATAAGTTATCAACCTCCAAGTGGCAGGTCTAGAGTTCAAATCCCAGTGATAGCAAAAATTTGTAATTCTTTCTGTAGTATAACTAACTGTCTTCTGTGATTGGTTGGAATAAGATACCTGTAACCCGTATCATATCAGCATGACTAAAAGGTCTAGGCACTCATACAACATTGTATAAGAGAATACAAACTGGTACCAGGCAATGTAAACCCAAGATAAGTTCTTAGGTTATGTAAATCACAGAAACTAGGTAGGAAGACAGAAGCCCACTTGAAAGACCTGAGTAGAGAGGTAACTTGAACTTTCGATGATGCTACTGTAAAGACTAGACTCATGAAATAGAGCTAGAACTTGTGAAACTAGGCAAATGTGCTAGTCTTTGAGGAGAAACCAGATGAACCAACTAGGCTACTGGAATTTATAGGTTTCAAAGAAAAATAGTACATGCTGTCAAATATGTAAACCAGAGATATGATCTCACTCTACCTTTCTAGGCTATCTGGAATAGCAGCTTGGTGGAACTTAAATTGAATATCAAACTAGTAAGAATATGTTGTAAAGTCAGTACCAGAGTTGGGGTAAACTCTACAAGGACATAACAGTTTAATGATACATCTTGACTGCTAGTGTTAGTCTCGGCCATAGTAATACCAGGTTAGCTGTAAGAATAGGATACAGAAGATTTTAGAAGATTTAATACAAGGTCAAAGGTTCTTTATATGAGTGAACTGCTTTAAAGACTTAGTAACCATGGCATATTTTCACTGGTATCAGCCAGGGTCATTGGTAGACAAAGGTAGGTGGGTGGATACAGAAACAGAATAGTTAAATAGAGAACCTACAAGTAGGTTCCAGGTATAGCAGCTAGTGTAGAACCTTTGGGCAGACTACTTAAATTAAACAATGACTAAACTTGTACAAGTGGCTAGTTGTACACTCTCTTCATAGTTGCCTTCTGTAGTTATAATGCAATTATTAGCCAAATATACTATCAATAAAATCCCATGTCACAAGTACTCACCTTAATTTTTTTTTAAAAAAAAAACAAAAAAACAAGCAATTTATATTATAAACAGTATTATTACTTCATGACTTATCTATTATTTATACTTCTTTTTTCTCTCAACTTTACAAATAAATTCACTTAACAGAACATGCATTCAATTAGTAAAACATAAAACAAAACTAGTATAAGGAGTTCCTAACTTCTTTTTATTCAATTCAAATATTTATATGCTAAAAAATTTAGTTCAAATACAAACTTCAGCACTAGTCTCAATACTTTAAAAAAATCTAAATTATTCTAATTTTGATTTCTTTTTTCTGAAATTGTAATTACAATAATTACAAGATATAGCACTTATAAACACTTCAATTCTGATACATTTCTATTAACACAAATAAATACACAAACATGCTAGATAATAATAATACTATATGCATTGGAAATGCAAACCTTATGTGACAATAATGACTAGTCATATCCAAAAAAATTTTTAGATACATCTATAAATCAAATTCTTCTAAACCATCCCAAAGCTTTATATTTTTAAAAAAAACTAAACAATCACAATATTACAAGTATTGAGCAATTTTTAAATGCAACTAATATAGAACTTCTAACATGGAATAATTTTTATCATAATATCAAAAAAATATCTTAAGAACAATATTCTTGTTGGTTTTATTTAATGCAAGACCTAATAACTGCATCTACAAATTCATTTTTAATATTATTACAACTAAATTCATATATTTTGGACAATTAAATATCTAACAAAAAGGATTAAATAATTACTAAGAATATAATCTTTGAAAGAATTTACAACTCTTTTAACAAAAACTTAAAAACTCGATATTACATTCTATGCTCTAACAATATACTAACAGTCTGTTAAGAATGTGTACTTAAAAGAATAATTTATTTATCTAAATACTGTTACTTTAATGCAACAAAACTAATTTATAATCTTTAAATAGATTGCAAAAAGTAGATTCATATTAATTTAAATGATTTCAAAAAAGCACTAGTCTTAATATCAACTATAACATATCAACTTTCTAATCAAAAAATACAGTTAACTTTAGTCAAACCTCTTTGCTTCTTATTAACCCTCTAATACCACTTTGGAACACTTTAACAAAGGCTAATTTTAATAAAAAAACTATAACACTATATAATAAGTGGTTGACAAAAAGTAGAAAATAATTCTTATATAGTAACACAAAAAAAATGCCAACTTTAATACTTTCATACTATCTTTGGTTGCTTTACCAACCTCTGGCCTTCTCACTTAAATACTCTATTAACCTTGTTAACATTTGTGCTAATCTTGACAAATCTTTATGCTAATATAAAAATATATATTAACAATTCTTCATTTGTTGATCTAATTGACCTTGTATAGTCTATCTAACCACACAACTATTCTACAATTGACAAGTAACAACATACCTATCTTCTCTTAATATTAAAAGCAATAACATACAATCATACAATTACAATCACTCTTAACAAAGAACTTTAATTTAAGAAACACAAAACAATATTTTTCTATTGGACTCTATATTACAAAAATTTTTACATAACCAATTTGTTTTAAAACTTCTTAGCAATCCTTGCACATACTTTCTAAAAACTACAATAAAGCAAGTATACCAAATTTCAAATAGACTAGTTTGGTTCTGTTA